CAAGCGAGTAAATTGTATGCACGTTTTTTTTCGAAGGCAAAAATATAAAAAAATTTGAAGTTAAATATGGGAACAGAATTAAAATGTTAAAAGTAGGCTTATTAAATTTTAATTGGTTGCTGGAAGCGGTTTTTTGGTTTAAAATGTCATTTTGTAATAAATTCCAAAAAATTTGTAAAAACAAAAAATACTTGATTTTATTTTAACGAAAAAGGGAAATGATAAATAAAACATTACGCAAAGAATTCTTTACAAAAAATGCGTTAATTTGTGTTAAGCTGTTTGTTTCGCCTAAAACAAACATTTTCAATGAGATAAAAAATTAAGAAAATAGCAATGCTGTTTTGTAACGATTGTTATATCCATATTTTCACATGCTTTTTTAACAAATGCAATATTTCACAGAGCATTGTCTCTTAACCAACACATTTGAACTGGTTATCTCCTAAATAATAAATTTTAGTGCAATAGTTTAACTATCTAAAAGCATGTCACAACAAATTTAGCCGTTTAACTCGGTCACTTCGGCCATGCGGTCCGATTAAGCGACTCCCACTGATGCTTTGCATATTGAAACCTTTCATGTATACATTGTGTTCTATAAAGCACCCAGACGTATCATGTATACGTTGTAATAAAGTACACAACATACGAGAACACATTGTATATCATAAAACATACAAGAACACATTGTTTGTATATCATAAAACATACAAACTGTAGTAAACACTATACAGCACCTAAACATTCCGCGCATATATTGTATAATGGATACCATACTAACATTCCATGCATTGTATAGCATACGGCATACAAACGCAAGAAGTCATTTGCATCTAAAGAGGCCAACAACGTGAAGCAAATGCTACTAGACGACAGGCTGAAGAACTCTGCTTTTAAAGATTTCTTGCTTAAAGTTTTAATTAATATGTGCAAATAATTTATACACCCGTTATGTTTAAAAATGATAAATATTTGAAAATGTGAAAAATTATTTGTTAAAACTCTTTGTTGTAATACTACGTAACTCGTTTTGAACATAATAGCTGGTCACGTTTTTGAAACAGTTTATCCTATTAAATTTTGTAAATAAGAATTTTTAAGAAATTGACTTTTATTGACTGAAATTTTAAGAAAAAACAAAGCGTAATGTTTTAAACATCGTTTGAACGTTTCTATGAATCACTGCGTTGCATCATAAATAGATGCATAATTATTTTTTATAAAAAATATTTCTGTCAAATAAACTTGAAATCCTGAAGGCAACAACACTCCAACGCAACTTCATTAAGTGAAGAAATTATCATGAAAATATTTTGTCAATGAAACTGCAATTAAAAAACTCAAATGCGACTGATAATTACGGTAGAAGGTTCATCAAACAACAACATACAACTACAAGAAAAATAAAAGATTCCTATTTAGCTAGCCCCTTCACTTCCTTTTAAATTCTTTCCAACATTTCTGACCATTAATTAAAAAAAAACACTCGCATTTCTTAGCAGGTAGATGTGGCCAAATTTGGAAATAAAATTGTAGGAAAGAAACAAAAAGAGGAAGAGGATGGCGAAGTCGGTTGAAAGCATAAATAATGTTGTTGCATTGCGAGGGATGTTACCATATGGAAATGCCGCTCGTTAGTTTTATGTGCTCGAATGAATCATGAATCAAATATGCCCGAACACAAAGCAGAGAACCAAAGTAACAACCTTCAAACAAAGCATTCAGTATTAAAGAAGACAATTTAGATGAAAGAGTAAACTCCAGGCCACATTTTTAAAGATATAAAAATTGTGGGTTAACACTTCATACGAAAATATGAGAACTTAATTTTGCAGGTAACAAATTATTTAAAAAAATTAAAGAACATTAGAAATTTTTTATATAAAGTTCATTGATATGTCTTATCACTAATTTTGTTGGATTAGGTATAACACCGAAAATAAATGCGCAAAGAAATGAACGAACAAACAAATAAATTATTCCTTTTTATTCATTCATTATTCATTATCTAATAATGTTTTTTTCTTATTTTAATAAATCATAGTAAATCATCATCACGAATTTTTTGATAAAAAAGAAGGTCTTAATTTTAAAGTAATTTTTCATGTTAGATAACTTATGCTAAATAATTGAAATAATTTATATGAAAACATTTTTTCATATTCGATCCAATTGCTATGGATTAGATTTGAATGTTCTTCCAGCCTAAGGTTTTCACATCTTTTGGTTTCTTATGCATGGCCCAATTAGCGAAATTTACATATGAGCAAAAAACTGAAAAGATTTACCATTATTAAATATTCAAATAAATAAAGCAATGCAGCAACAAAACACTGTTGTGCATGTGCACATCGCTGGCGATTGAAACATTCATACCCCATCGATATAATTTCGCATCCCTGTAAATAATAATCTTGGAAATTTTTTTCAGGGAAGCATGGATGAGTTGGTGAAGGGGGGCAGACAAGGAGCTTCTTGCCCCTCCAGCAACCAAACATTGTGGGGGCTGGGACAAGCGGGGGCGTGCGGTTCCTTCTGCTGCCTACTTGTTGCCACGATGACGAATTATTGGTTGAAGACCTGGGAGAGGTCTTACACGTTCAACGGCACTGTTTACTATCAGATTGTCTACAGTGGCCTCTGGAAGAGATGCAGTGAAGATAGTAAGTCGCATTGCTTGCTTCTGTTTATAACCGTATTTTATTATTGCATGATTAATGTTCGTACTTGGTTCGATGGTTTGTTCGTTCGTCTGTTTTCCGAATGCATGCATGCACCGCTAGTGCATCTTCATGTTGCTAGAACGTTCTCAAGTTAGTGCGATTGTTGTGGTGTCAGTTGCTAGCAGTTGTGATTTTGTTCGTTTTACAGATTTTTTTTTACGTACGTTGGTTTTCCTTCTTCTGCTTCTTGCTTTTCTGTCTCATTTTTAGCTTTACTCTCATCTTTTGGTTTTAACTATAAAAAACAGTTTGATTTAATAAATTAATGAAATTTTTATTCTTTTGAAATATTGTTAACTATGTTTAATTATTGTATTATATATATATATATATATATATATGAACAGACATCAAAGATGAAAACGCAGTGATTAATTATATGTACCACAGTCTCAACTCTCTCTCTCTCTCTCTCTCTCTCTCTCTCTCTCTCTCTCTTTATATACACATATATTTATTTATTTATTTACATTTTTTTATTTTTATTTATATAGTGCTGGAAATTATAAATTCAATGGTGAATTTATAAACTCACAAAATTTGTATTTCATTATAACCGAAATAATAATAATAATAATGATAATAATAACAATCTTATTTCGCAACTCCTGTAGTGACGGCAGCGTCAGCAGTAGTCGTAGTGGTATTATTATTATTATTATTAGTAGTAGTAGTAGTAGTTGTAGTAGTAGTAGTGTTAGTAGTATTAGTAGTAGTAGTAGTGGTAGAAACTACAGGACTGATTATGATTGAACGAGAAGATGGTTGCCAGCAAGATATTTGCTCCAATTGAATTCATGCTCGATTAATAACGAGATGCAATATGACTTTTAATAATTCAGCGTCCTACATCTGCTGATTGATTGCCCACCATCTTACTTCTACAACATCTTGCCTGGCTCCACCCCTGCATCAATAAAAATGTTTTAAAAATAGTATTTTTAGTTACAAATAATTTCAAGTTTACAGATCAAAAACTTATGAAAATCTAATATTACGATGTTCTAAAGTTTTTTAGATAATACCCAATATTTCATAAAAGGAGAGATAATGTTAATCATTTATAGCCAAAAAAATCAGAAAATTGTATAATTCAAATGAAATAAATGGTGACAAAGAAATTGAACTGTTTGCTACGTAATTGTTTTTGTCCTTCAATAATTTTTGTAGCTCGGTTTCACTGATTCGTCTCGAGTGATCAATTTACAATTTCTGTGGCAAGATCATCGATATTAACTTTACGTTTTCCAAGATGCTGTTAACACTTTCAGCACTCGTTTGGCCGCTCGTTCTTGAATACTCTTTCTCTTTATTATATTTCTTTAAAATGCTATTCGTTTTAAATCGAATAGCATACGCGGTGTATATGAAATTTTAGCGTACTAGTTTTCATTATTTGAATTGATTCAAAAGACATAAACTTGAAAAAGAGTGTTCCGTCAGATATGTTGGTAATTCCCCAGTGTATATAATTTATTGTTCTTTGTACGACAACCACACACCACAGGCCACAACTATGAAACAATTTTAAAAACCGGAAATGTGTAACAAAAACATTGCAATGCTTAAAACAGAGCAGAGGTAAATATACGCAATTGCAGTTGTAGCATTCATTTATGGTCATTCAAAAGATGTTAAAATTTTTGAAAATATATTGCATGCAAGCTTGATTGAATACATAAAAACAAACAAAAATTTTGAATACGGAAGTTTTACAAATAATGGCATAATTTAGTTGGGATTATAAAGCTATGCTGTATTCTGTGTGTTGGATTTGAACGAGCGAAGAAACTCACTTGTATTTATTGGCGAAATAAATCATTGAGTTCATTTTTGTCACCGCCATTGTTTGTTAAATTTTTGTTAGAAACGTGGGATAATAATGTATAATAAAATAATAACAATATCCCGAGCGTTATGATACATAAGAAAACGAATTAAAGTCACTAAGCTGCCGTCAACAAAATAAACTAATAATTCCATTGTAGAAAAAACTGTCAGATGATAAATAAATGACCTTGACATTCATGTACGTTTACATGATGGAATAGATATTGAAAAACATGCAAGAAAAAATTCTTTTGTAAACATAACTAGTCTTATTAGCAGTATGTAATGGGTATTTTAAGATACAGAATGTTTAAAATCAATGCAAAAAATTGTTACACATTGTTACAATATTATTTCTGTGATGTTTTTGCTCGGTCTAATGTTATTGTCGAATCGTGAACAGTCGACTACAATAACGTTAGAGTGCTTCACGAGACATGCACGGGCAGGCGGCGTTCATCTCTATCACGAGAAAAAACAATCAGGAGGCAATTGCCGTTTGACATTGAGAACGACCAAACCAGACGTGACGAAATCAAATAGCGCTTCAGAGTGAATGACAAATGTTCACAGACCTTACTACGCATTACAATTGCAAAACAACGCCACCAAGAAATACGCAAAATGTTTTTTCTTAAAAATATTTCGTTCTTGACTGCTGCTCTTTTTGAGTTACTCGCACTTGCAATCTGTGCTACACCTTAAAATTCGAGAATTTTAAGTGAATTTGTTTACAAAACAGAAACTGCCCAAGTTATTTAAACTGCATATAACAAATATTCTATTTATTTAAAGCTAGACACAACAACAAAAATACAACAAAAATAACATTAACAACAAAAACGACAATACGACAGTAAAAAAATAACATTAACAACAACGTTAGGACGCTAAAAGCTTTTTACTATTTAAAAATCTTTCTCTCTGAAAAAAGTTCAGAGTGTCGGTATGTATGCTTATATATTTAAATAAATAAATATATATATATATATATATTAATATATATATATAAACAAATATATATATATATATATATATATATATATATATATATATATATATATATCTTTATTTAATTATTCAAACAAATTCACTCCAAAACATACGAAAAATGTGTCCATCAGTACAATGCATACCACAATGATACAATAAACCAGACCAACACATACAAAACCAGTATAACGAAAAAGACAAAAACCATCAACAAAACCAGCTGGTCACAAGCAGTATTCTGCATGAAAAACAAGATAATCAAATTTATAAAATAAATAAAACAATGCTAACAAACAATAATAATAATTATTGCAACAATAGATTATTAATCAAAAATAAATAATCCTGATTGGAATGATAGAATTTAAGACGACGACGAAAAGTAGTTGGGGTCTTTAAAGTACGAAGCTTATAAGATACGTCACGAAATGTGCAGAAACAAAAGACTTCCATCTCAAAGAACATTCCAGTTCTAGGTATCAAGGGCGCCTACAGAATGGGGGAGGAGGCAATTGCCTCCAGTTTGAGTTAGGAGGGAAATTCTCCCCCTATTTTTTAAATTTATCAATATCATGAAGACATTTATTATTAGAGCAGTCATGGGCGTAGGAAAAACGACGTGCTAAGTAAAGGATGGATGATGAACGATGTAATGATGAATGTTTAGCCGGACTTGATAAAATGAAATTTTATATTTTTATAACTGTCTTAGATGGGTTAATAAATCAAATGAACAGTAAGTTTGAACAACAAAATTTAACATTCAAGAAAGAACTTTCACTTTTTTCTCCTAAAAACTACAAAGTAGTTGTAATATAAAAGCCAGTGAAATTCAGATGACATGTGACCAGTACGGCGTCAATTCGGAAAAGTTGCATCTAATCTAAATGGTTTCAAAAAATCTTACCAATTGTTCAAAGAAAAATTACGAAAAATCATCTAAAGAGGATAACAAATTAATAGAAACTGATTCTTCAGTCAGATGAAGAAGTTGACAATGAAACCGACATTATGTTAAAAATGAATGCACAATTACATTCTATCCAAAAATGGAACAATTAGAGATATATATAAAACCACTAAAAATCCTATCTTAGTTATCTGGATATCCTGATCTAATGATGTTTTACAAAATATTTACTACCCTTGCAGTGTTCAGCACATCTGCAGTCCAGTACAGATTCAAGTTAGCTTAAAATTGTAAAAACCTACTTCGATCTACAACAGCTGATGAATTTTTATCAGCGTTAATAAGAATTACTGCAGAAAAAGTTTTGTATAAGCCTGAAATGAGGCACGTTATCGAGTGAATGTGAAGTTGAAACACATCGGATCTCTACGTCTAGTAGATGGAACAATCTGTAGAGCCCACGTAAGCACAAATACAAACAAGCACGCAAACATTTCCTTTAGTTAGTAAATTTGTTTCTGTTTGTTTCAAGCTAACAAGGACCACCATACCAAATTTTAATATATTTGATAAGTACAGGTTTTGCTCTAGATTCTCCATGTCTGATGTTCAAATATTCGATCTTTCAACTCAACAAAATATAGTGTTCGTTTTTTGACATATATTCATGTTAGGTGCTTTATAAAAACATTAATGTTTATTTTAAAGCACATTATTCGCAAATGGAAATGTGTAAAAAGCTTAATTAGTGTTTTAGTCTTTATTAGACTAGAAGAAACAATTAAATTTGACAGACATCATATCATATCTATCTGAATAATCATTGCTACATGACAAACAAGTCAACCAGACTTTTGACACAACTTTTTTAAAATTGAAGAATATACGCTTCCATACATTTCATTCACATTTTCATAAAAATACTGAGAATATTTTCTACATATAAATTAACTGACGTTCGTATCTCCGCAGGATTGCACCAAAGCAATTACGTATAAATGCAATTCTTTATGCTACTTTTTTGGATGAAATTGTGCTCACCTAACGTCTTAAACTTTATTTCTGATTACAAATAAAAGGTGGAGGGTAATGCTCAAATATTTAAAATTAGTGATAATATTCAGGACAAATTCAGGAAAAGAAAAGAGTTGACTTGTGCAATTTTCAAATGCTGAAATATTTTTTGGAAATAAAAAACAAATCAAACCAAACTGGAAAACTCTTTTAATTTTTCTCTTTTTATTGAAGCTGCCCCCATTTGCCTATCTTAATAAGATTTCACAGATAAACGTCAGCGTGTTTTCACGAGTGATGGTGGCTCTAAATTAAAACGAATATTTTCATAGCATAGAAGATGTGTATATATATGTATATACGTTCTATATATATATATATATATATATATATATATATATATGTTTATATATATATACTGGTTGATTGGTATACACAAGTCGGTGTTGAATGTAACAAGTGTCATTTATGCCGTTAAAATGAAAAAAAAACCAGTTACGCGAATCCGTTCAGTTTTTTTAATGTAATTTCTCATGTTACCTTAATTAAGCTAAAATAAATGAAGTTATTAATTAATAGGAATAAATAATGAAAATAAAACAATTTCTATTAGTGAAAAATGTTGCAAGTTTGTCAAAAAAAGCCAACGGGAAATGGGGTTTTGTAAGAAGGTTTGCAACAAACAACCCCAATACGCAACCACTAGTTCAAAAATGACTAATAGAATAATGCGGAAAATTAAAGCACGAAACCTACTTTAAGTCTCTTTTTAAAAAGTTTTAGTAGCTTTTAATAACGTTAACTTTAAATAAATTCTTATATTAATTATAATTTAATAAAAAGAATGAAAAAGTGAAAACTTACCACAGTATGCGATAAAAAAACGCTGTTAAAACGGAACTAATATCGCAACTGCAGAAGTTTGTTTGTTAAAAGGTCAAATTTTAACCAAAGATTATAAGTGCATAAGATCATTGAAAAATTTATTTAAATAAAGAAAATATCGAAATTATTCAACCCGTGTAACATAACAGCCCCTGCCTCTCCTTTTCATGAACTTGCTTTATTAATTTACTATTGCCTATCTTTTCCATCTAATAAAAAAAGTATATATTTACACACACATACACATGGAAACATGAAAATGAAAATTGATCTCTAATTATTTATTGTATAAATTACTGAAAAATTAATCTAAAAAATACATCAATTATTCTGCAACACATTAACAACTTACATTTAGGCCGGATTTAAAAAAATTCAAAGGTTCTAAACTGCTAACAAATTTATTAAAATAAAATTTCATATTTTTATAAAAATTATAAATAATTAAAAACTTTAAAGTTTGATGTGAAAACTAATTAATTAACATATAGCGCAAATTTTCAAACATCACCTCTTAACTTGTTCATTTGTCTATAACAAAATATAACAACAAATCGAAACAACTTAACTATTTTTATACATTCTCAATAATTGCAAGCAAAAAAAAATCGCTTCTAAAGTGGGACATTGCACTTGACAAAATTTGAACTGAAATCATCAAAAATGAAACTAAATAATGCAACACAGCATCATGACTTTTTTTGAGGATTCGCGTTCAGTGGAGATGCGCGTTTCTAACAAATCGTCGCCCGCCCCGCCCTATTGAAATATGCATACCAGCATGAAATAATCGTTTATTAGTGTCGTCATTTTTATTTTTTCAATTTTTTGTTAAACCATGTCAAAAAATAACATTTTTTTCATTCATCAACTTCCCGGAAGTGTCTGCAATCAACTGTTTGCAGTGTATATTGGTTTACTTATTTGTTCTTAAATCAACTGCTTTGTTGCTTTTTTTGTTTACATGATCGTCTTCTTATTTGTTTGCATGTATGATCATCGAGATTTCTGTCGTTATATTTCTAGTGTTGATGCTTTAACAATTTTACACACAGGTCGGTACGCGGGCCAGTCGTACAACTGCAGCTCCATCAACTACTTCAACCACGTCGACAGGGACGGCCTCGGTCCAACGGACTCTATCATGCGTCAGTGAAGTTTAAAATGTTTTATTTGGAGTTATAATTAACAATTATTTGGAATATTTTATTTGGAAGAATATTTAGTAATTATTTTTAACATTTTATTCGAGGATGTTATTGAAATATTTTTGAAGTCAAATTAATGTGAAACGCTGTAAAATAAGAGCTACCATTTTTCATATATCACACTCTTATTTTTATATTATTTGAATGTTTTCAAGTCTTTCACACAAAAAAAACAACTTAAGAAATTATTCAAAAGCATCTGGAGTTCTGTAATATTCAGTGTCAACATTAAAAATTAATTGGAATCAAACTTCTGTCTGAGTGCTATTAGCAACTGATCCAAAATAACCTTTGTTTGTGTTGTCAGGGGTTTCAATTTTTCACTAACATAAGAGAAAGGCATTGTCAAAACACCTACTTCTAAATATTATATTATAGTGTATTATTATACAAAACTCTCGCCTCTCTGAACAATCCTTAATTATCGTTGAATTCTGATGAAGTTTAGTTTAAGCTTACGCTGTCGAAAATATTGCAAGATAAAAGGTACAAGAAAACCCAGTTTAGCGTGAAGAGCGGCGCGATGGTGAGTAGTGCTGTCACTCTTTGTTATCCCATCACAGTTGTTATATAATATTCATCTCTTAATTAAGTTCCGATGAAGTTTAGTATAAGTTTGAGAGCTGTTGAAAAATTGATAAATACTTGCCTACACCACTCTCCTTCGTTATCACCAACATCGTCATCATCAGCATCAGCATTGTCAATATCATAGTTGTCAACATTAACATCATCCTCATTATCATCTAAATCAGCAACAACATCTTCATCACCATCATTGTCTACAACATCGTCATCGTCATCATCAACATCACCATTGTCAATATTTTCATTGTCATCATCATCATCATCACCATCATCATCATCATCATCATCAACAACAACAACAATAGCGTCAACAACAACAATATCATCATTGTCATCGTCAATATGATCATTGTGTGTGTCAAACTCGAGGGTGCTGGTCAACAATTTTATTCCATGTTGTTATTTCACTCAGACACACATCTGTTTGCAGAGTTGTTCAATGTCGAAGTGAGCCAGGGAGTTTGTGGTCAATGGTAGGTACAGGAGGTCGAGAGGATGAAAATTATTTTAATGTTGAAATGCGTTTGCTGATGTGCAATGAAACACCTTAACCTAAAATAAAAATTTTGAATTAAATCTGATGAAGTTGATCATTAAAAATTGTGGATGTTTGAGAATTTAACCCTTCAAGGCCTTTGTGATTATTTACAAACATTTGTTTATAATATTATGCTGCTTAACTACAAATTTTTATGAAACGATTTTTTTACCTTACCAGTTACTTTAACAATTTTTTTGCGTATCATCAGTTTTTAGACAGAGTGCAAAAATGTAATGGGAAAAATTGGTATCGATTCATCATATTTTAAATGGATTCGTCAAAAGCTTGATGAAAGCCATCAATCAGAATAATGGGGCGCGACAAGATAATGTTGTTGGGCTATCGTTGTAAGTGCAAAAATTAAACTGTATGGCTCTGATGTTTATGTTTTTACATTCTAGCTATTCCGCTATGAAACTTAGTCATACAGAATGTTTCTGCAAAAACTATTTGATGTCACATACATATTTAATATTCGTGTTTGGCCATTCCCAACTATGGAAATGTTTTCGGATTATCATATTTCGTCAAAAATATGTTAATTAACTTTTAGTCTTATGTCAACCGGAACGATTCCAGTTTATCATCGCTCACAACGGACAACGTGAGCAACGCTTATAGATAATATTTTCACAAACAACAATTTGATTCATTTTTCAGGAATTATATATTCAGATTTATTAGATCACTTTCCAATATTGTGTGTGTGTGGTGATATTAATACACAGCAATCAAAAAAAGATGTCAATATGGTTTTAAAAAAGGCTGTTCTACAGGATTGGCAATTTTGTATGTGACACAATTTATATCCAAAAATATAGATTTAAAGCTGTCAACTATGGGTAAATTCATTGATATATCAAAAGCATTTGATTCAAATGATCATGGTGCATTGTTGAGAAAACTACACCATTCTAGAAATCATGGCTTAGTCTGGAATTGGTGTCATAGAATACTTTTGGAAATAATTATTATTCCATTCTATTCCATAAAATTCATTTCCGAAATTAGATTTTAACAATTGTCAAGTATAATGATAAATCTAAATGTAAATAATGGTGTGTTGTGTATATATATATATATATTATATATATATATATATATATATATTATATATATGTATGTATATTTATATATATAATGAAGATTTATTAAACATTTTTTAGGGCCTGCACCTCTCCTCCCCTAGATCCGCCACTGATAGTAGCACTTTCTACTTGTCCCCTTTTCACTAATAAAAAATCGTCGGTCGATTTGTCTCTTTGTTCATATTGTTTTGAGAAATGTTTTTGTCTTCTCGATGTCAACCGAACATTCATCACTTTTTGTTCCCAAGGAGCTATCTTTTCTTAAACAGTCCTTTGAATTTTTTACTCAAACGGCTATTAATTTAATATTAACTCTTATAATACTCTAAATAATTGGAACTCAAATATTTATTAATTTATTGCTTGTTATCGTTAATCAAATTTATCTTTTTACAAGATTATAAATTCAATACCTCTGCTTCAAGAATTATGTTAAAAAATTTTTTAAATATTTTGAATGGCTTGATTTGATTCATTTTTAAAAAATTGAAAATTTTCAATTTGTACAAAATTTATATTGTCGAAAAATAATAAATGAAAAAAAAAATTATAAATGAAATCAGAGAAAACTACAAAATCGAATGTAAAAATAGGTTATTAATGTTGTTTGTTTTTGCTTACTTGCTTCTTCTCCATATCAACTATAAGATAAAACTGTGCAGGTTATATTTTATTATAATGTATCACAAAATGTCTCACGTGAAGTAGTCATGAAATTAAAATGTAAAAGAAATTGTGCAAAAAATGAAATGCCATTCTGTACAAAATGAATGTTTGTAAGAAAAAAAATAAAAAAAATATTTACAAATGAAATAATAAAAATTTCCAGAAATGAATTTACAAGATTAAAATTAATGTTGTTTGTTTCTGCGAAGCGGATGTTTCTTTCCATTGTATTTGAGTGTGTTCCTGGATCTGGACCTCCTGTTTGACAGCCACTTTCTTACTTGCTTCTCCTCCAGCTGAAATTGGTTCGTCAAATTTTTGAGGTCATTCCCAGTAGCGTATGGATCATCAACGTGCCTCGCATACCAATTTTCAAGGAGGCTCACAATCTCCGTCCAGAATATGTTTTTTGTTGTTGGAATCGTTGGCGGACTAAAGACTGGGTCCGGACTGTTGTTGGTAATTGAATTGGAGTCAGTCTGTGTTGATTTGAATGCTGGAGTGCTGGTTATTTGTGGATTGAAAGGTATCACATCATTACAATTCATTTTGAATCTTGCACATAGTTGAGAAACGTGAAGATTGGAATTATCCACATGTGCATTGAATTGTTGTGTCAAATTCAATGATGAGTCCTCCCCACCATCCACTTCAGCGCGGAATTTTTTGAATGGCGTGTTGGGATCGGCTGACGAGAGTTTCTCGTTATCTTCCCAGGGTCGTTTCAACACAAATTTGTGTTTCAAGGGGGATTCATCGACGGAGTTAGGGATGTTGGAACAGAGATTATTCATTTTGAACATTTTGTTGTTCATCGAACTTTCCACAGATTCATTTGTTTTCCACGAGTGAATTGAACTTGTGTGAACATCAGCAGCAAATGATGTTGTGTAGTAGCCGCTTTCTTCGGTTGATTTGTCTCTTTGTTCACTATTGTTCAATGAGATTTTGTTCTTAGAAAGATTTTTTGCGTTCCCAATGTCAGCTGAATGTTCATCAGCTTTTGTTCCCAAGGAAGTAGCTTTTCTTGAACTGTCCATTGAAATGTTTTACACGCTGTAATTAATTTCTTATTAGTTTTTATTATTTCTAATTATTTCGAACTCAAATATATTTCAACTTATTGTTTTTCAAACTAAATTTTTTTATCTGGCTAGATTTATTTCTTATTTGCAGACTTATGTTTTCTAGGTCAATGTGATAGTGTAGAGAATTTTCAGTTATGCTCAGTAGAATCTTTTGTGCTCCATATTTATAGGCAGAAATGTGGTGGAGCAATTAAGATGGTTGGGTAACTTCTAAACATCATTCAAGACGAGCGGATCCTCTCTCAATCAACTGTCCCAATTAAAGTTTGTGTCAATTGAATAATTGAGTGGCACTCTATAAAGTGAATTTTTACTTTATTGGCTCAGTAATTATTTAATCAAGGAAGTTGTTGCTGAGTATTGCTCAGTTTTTCTATTTTCTGTCTTTGAAGTCGTTTCGCATGATGAACTTTCAACCGCTCATTATAAATTAATTTGGCTAATTAAAATTTATAAATTAATTTAATTAATTGATGCAAATAAATTGTTTCTTCATAGTTTAATTTCTCTACATAAGACTTTTTTTGAATTTGATAAACTTAAATATAAGTTGAAGTTACATGTTTCTCATGAAGTCAAAATGTTTAGGTTATTTCAAATGACAAAACAAGTTTGGTTTTCGACATCAATATCAATCAATTGTTTCAAACTTCAATATATTTGCAATTCAATTGCATTAACTTTTTCAACATGTACAAATGTTAATGATGTTTAATTGAGCCTGCAATTATGTAATTAACGTCTACAAAAATAAAGCATGGCAGTTTTCATCAGAGGTGCTCCTTCCCGAAACATCAATCCTTGATGTTTCTCTTTCATCTTCATAGATCCAACTAGATTAAACATTGATTAGTTAAAAAAAAATGTTCACCATGTGTCACTTTCGTATGTGCGCATGTGTATATTTGGACTTTGTTAAGTGCAGATCTCGCTGATACAAACAATGTCCCAACTGACGCGGGTCATGTGACAGTCTCGAAACAACTTACCTATTATACGCTTGAGTGTGTGTGCGTGTGTGTATGTATGTGGTTGAATGTGTAGTGTAGGCATATGTTTGCATGCGTGGGCATGTGCTTAAAAGTGTGGTTGTCCAATGTGTCCGCGTCCAAGCCGCGAGTCCGATGAAAAGTATCCGACTCAGGCCTCTTAAAAAAAAAACTGATTCCGATTACGACTCCAGGCGAAAATTTCCTTATCCAATTCCCGACTTCGACTCCCCACTCCGACTCCGGGTTGAGGCCTCCATGAAATTTTTCAACTGTTTCTTCATCATCTTTCTTGTATAACCTATTGAAAAACGTTTAAAAAACAATTGAAATCAGTCAATATAAATGTATTTCTGAAGATAATTTTGTGTATTTCTCAGCATTGAAGATGATTGTACGTCGCTGCACTTACTCATCGTTCAAAAAACAACATCTTAAAAATTTCCCGAACAAAAAAAATTGTTTAACTTCCATCACTTTTCGGAGTCGAATGAAAATTATCATACTCCGGTTCAACGAAAAATTTTATCTCCGACTTCTAGAGCCTGGATTGTTCTCGTGCAAAGATATTGGCTACTGTTCATACAAAGATGAAATCACGAAATATGTCTCACGTGAAATAGTCATGAAATTAAAATGGACACCTATATACAAAGAAGAGAAATGCAAATTGAAATCTTCTAGATCTGGACTTTCTGTTTGCCAGCCACTTTCTTACTTGCTTCTCCTCCAACTGACATTGGTTCGTCAAATTTTTGAGGTCATTCCCAGTAGCGTATGGATCATCAACGTGCCTTGCATACCAATCTTCAAGGATGCTCACAATCTCCGCGGTGTGTTGTAACTGTTCTTACCTTGTAAATAGGAAGTAGTAAGTTACGGACCCAGGCTGGAGATATCAAACAGACACGCAGTGTGATCTCTTCATTTGCAATCAATGGAACGAGTTTTAAATTACTTAACTCAAAATCTGCTTATTAATTGATATTTTTATTCAATTTAATTTAATACAATTTTTAATAAAGTACCAAAATTTATAGTTTTGAAAGTGTTTCACAAGTGATTCGCATGGACGTCCAGTCCAAGCATTTTTTTTTATAACGCATCATGAGCAATCATCGAATTTGTGCCTATTGGAGTCTCTGGAGTTCATATCTAACGTTTAATATCAAAATGCATCAATGTACCAGAAACGTAATTCATTGGCATGAACCATTTTATATCTTCATTGAACATAGAGTAGGCAGATGGATGAATTCGATTCGAATGCTATGTTCAAAATTTTATAAAATGAATTTGAACTGAAGTGGTTCGTACAGAAACGCTGAAGTTCTTGCAAGACGCTGCTTTTATTTTTATCATTGTACAATGTACATGTACACGACTTTCAACACATTTTGAAAATTTAATCTGATAAGTGTTTCTCTTTCAACTGCAGTTTGTGGGGGAAATCCTTCTTCATCATCCAATGCTCGCTTGCCTCTCTCGAGAAGTTGAGAAAGTTTAAAAGATTAAATGCATGCCGACTGATTTTTTCCGATGTTCATTTTTGCTGTCTGTAAACAAAATAAAATAAGCGATTCTTCAAATTTTATTAATGAAAGCTCAAATGAATCCAAACGTACAAGAAAGAAGCTTATCGCATTTGTTTGTCATATGATAACGACGAATCAGACGAATTTTATAAAAAATATTTTCAAATGTTGTAGCTTAAATAACTGACCTGAAAAAACCTGCTCTACAGAGAAGTTGCCATGAAATGCCATGAAATGAACAAAGAACGTAATGTACGTACATGCTGGTTGGCGTAATGAAATATCGAATTTCAAAAACAAGCCCGCAATCTCAAAATGAGCCAGGCTTCCTTTGGAATTTGCAGATGAAGCAGAAGAAGAATGTGGAGATGTTGCAAGTCTGAGATCGTTGCCATGGTGATGTTCATGTTGATGATGAAGACGACGATGATGATGAAGACGACGATGATGATGATGATGACGATGATGATGATGATGACGATGATAATTACGAAGACGAGAACTATAAAGTAATAATAATTGTTTAAAAAATTTTAGTTAATGTTTTAATGGTACAATTAAATTCAGATACATTAAATACATTTAAATAGTAGTTTTGTTCTCACACACACACACAGATACAATAATTAAGATGAATGGTTATTATTCTATAAATGAAACATTTCAAGTTTGAAATCATTTCTAAGAAGGAACTGATTAAATAAAAGGTGAATCGCTATTCATACAGAGTAAATGGAGTTTTAAATAATTCAATCAAAATTTCAATTTAAGAAATAATATTTTACGACGAATTCATTTGACAGCAGCTCTTTTGTCAAAACGCAAAGTATTTATTTTAATTCAATTTTATTTGTTGAAACTAATTTAAATTCAAGAAAGAAAAAGTCAAACAAAGGCAACACACATGCATAGTTGTTCACATACTGCTTTTACATTCTACACTTAAAAAAATACTCTCTCGTCGGAAGAATCTGTGTGTGGTTTTGTGGAGAAGCCACGTGATCCGGTAAGTAAGTCCGTGTATGCATTTGTCTCGACAGCATCATCTCATCATCATCACCATCATCACCACCATCATCACCGCCATCATCATCATCATCATCACCACCATCATCACCACCATCATCATCACCACCATCGTCATCACTATCATCACCACCATCATCATCATCACCACTATCATCATCACCACCATCATCATCACCGCCATCATCATCATCATCACCATCATCACCACCATCGTCATCACTATCATCACCACCATCATCGACAAAAACCACAGTCAATATCACCACCGTCAATTTTTTGACTTAATTCACCATTAGTTTTGTTTTTAGCGCTCTCAAGTTTTCAGCGCGCCTGTGTCTGGTTCCGACGGTCAAAATATTTTGTTGCTAGTTTCGATGAAAATTGAGAGAGAAATGAGAGTAGATCGTTGATTCACCACACGTTCCACTTAAACGTGTACACAAATGTTCATTTGCTTGCGGAGACAAACAGCCGGCACTGCATCTTCCGCACACGCCGCTGTTCAACTCCTCAACAGATTAACATTACGGATGTTTGTTTTTATCAATTATTTTTCTTGCCCGCATTCCACGTTGACAGAGATATGTTAATTTTGTTTTTGCTATTACTTTTGCTTTTCTGTTGTTGATGATGTTGTTGTTGTTCATGCGAATGTTGTTGATGCTGTTGCTGATGTTGTTGCTGATGTTGTTGTTGATGTTTTTGATGCTGTTGTCAAAGTTGTTGATGTTGTTTTTGTTGTAAAAAGCTGTTGTTGATATTGTCGATGTTGTTGTTTGTGATGTTGCTGAAGTTCTTGTAGATGTTTAGCTTGTTGATTTTTATGATAAACTGGTATTTATGTTTTTAATTTTGTAGAAATTGTAGTTCAGCTTGGTATTGTTTTCACAAATGTTGTCGATGATGATGATTAGGAGACTTTAGTTGCTGCTGCTGTTGAGGTCAAATTTAGATGACAATAACTGTCATTAATCATGTTAGTTTCAAGTTTTTAATAACACCATGTAGTAGTTGTTGTTGATGTAAATTGTTTATCTAGTTCACGAGACAGAACAGTTTAAAGCAACTCTTCTCCTTGCCACGATTCCTACGGTTACGCGGATATTGTTGATGTATTGTGCATGTAATAGTACATTTGCAGCTTGGCTTTGTTGTACGTTCAGCTTGGTGCACGCTGGTGTCCCGGTAGGAAGCACCGTGTTATGTTGCTTGCATTCTTTCTTCTACCTCTTTTCGTCTTCTTCTTGCTTCCACGTCGCGCCTCTCTAACGACGTCCTAATCTTTCTTCTATTTTGATATCTTTTCTTTCAGAATCAAATTGGATTTTAAATATGAAGTTTTTGAAGCCTATGTACAAAGTGCTTTTGTTTATCTGCTTTAAAATTCAACCGATGCATATATAAGTAGTGAAGAAAAGCAGAGTGTGGCATGTTAAAAAGTTTTTGAAAAATTTATTTTGTGCAGAAGGGAGAGGAATGCTAGAGAGAGAATAAGAAAAAGTGTAATGCTGCGTTAAATAAGAAATTGTAATGCGTACGGAGAGTTGGAAAGAAGGGCGGCGTTGTTGCATGTGACGTCCTGAAAAATATTGCTGCAAAATTCAATAATAAAAAAGATGTGAAAAATGAAGGGGAAAATGAAGAAATTAAATCCCATGAGGTTCGAAGCTGTTCTAGGTGTAATGGAAGATAGAGGAGAAGCAGCTGCATTGATCGATGAGGTGGAGGAGATTTTGAAGGCTGTCGTCCATTGCCTGGAAGCTTGGATACAAATTTCTCCAGCTTCAGTTGAATGAAGTTTATTTATTATATTACAATAATAATTTACTAACAATGAAAAAAAATAAAAATTTAATTTTCTTGAAAAATTGTCGTCGTCAAATTAAATTTTTTTAACCGGTGGTATGTTAAAAGTTTTTGTGCAATAGCAATAAACAAATGATAAAAAATATCACACACTTTTATCAATAAACACACAAACAGGGGCTTACACTTATAAGTATATACAAATATATATATATATATATATATATATATATATATATATATATATATATATATATATATATATATATATATATATAGGGGCTTAGACACATAAGTATATATATATATATTTATATAGGTGCTTACACTCATATATATATAAATATAGTATATATTATTATTATTATTATTATTATTATTATGATAAATTTATATAAAGTGCCAATTAAAAAAAGTTCTCGTAAGCGCTATCAGTAAGTTCACAAACGAAGACAAAAATAATTGATATTAATGTGATTAACAATTGACACTTTTAAGAACATTGTAAAGACATATTTTCAGTGTGATTGAAAAACAAAAATAATGGACATGGAAAAACCAAATGAAAATCACACTGAAAATATGTCTTTACAATATTCTTAAAAGTGTCTATTCTTAAAAGTACACATTGAAAATAATTATGTCTTCAAGTTTTTCCTGAAAATATCAATAGTTAATCCCGGCATTCGCAATGATCCAGGAAGTGCATTCCAGACCCTTGGGCCAAACAGATCAATGTTTCTTGCCCCTGTACATAACAGAGCATTATTAACCATCATCAGATTTGAATAATCACTTCTCAAGCTGATGCTTTCAGAAACCGCAGATCTCTTTTTAAGTTCATCCAACAAATATACAGGCAGTTGTTCATTCATGACCTTGAACATCAGAACACATATTTTGAAGATTAATCGCTTTTCAACATTCAACCAATGGAGATCCTTTAATGTCTGAGTCACATGGTCAAACTTTGACCCTCCAACAACAACTTTCGCAGCTCTGCTTTGAATGATTGAATAGATTGAAGCACGTATATTGATTTATCAGGTAAACCGTAGAATAGACTGGTACAATAATCAACCCGTGCATGAATGAATGCATGTACCAAGGTACGTGCAGTAGTTTCATCCAAATATTTGCGAATACGATATAGTCTATGAAGTTGATATGTACATGATGATGAAATCATTCCCAAATGATTTTTCATAGACAATTTTGAATCCAAATCAACGCCCAGGTTAATGGCATGTTCACAAAATTCTTTATGCTGACTATCGACATATACTGAATTTATACCAATCTAAGCCAAATGCCACCGTGTACCAAATGGCAAAAATATGGTTTTACACTAATTCAATTTCAACCTGTCTTTTGACATCCACGTATCAATATCCGACAAACATTTAACCAACCTCGGAACTTCGTTTTCCAACAATTCTGGTTTTCTCGTGAGTATTATTTGAATATCCGCATA